TTAATCTCAAATGATACAGACTGCTTACCTGGGGAACCAGAAAATGTGTACAGCAAACAATGACAAAACTGTTACTTCATGATCTCTCCACATACTTTATAAGGCTGACTCCTTTCTGAGTTCTCCTAACATTTAACATGAGACAAAATTGAAAAAAGATTATAGCTGCCACATGAAAAAAAATCAGAAATCGAAGAACAAACCAAAATATTTTGAAATTTTTGTTACATATAAATTTAGTACACATACCAACTGCATTTCTCCAATGTCAGACCTATATTACAAACTTTACAGATGGATAACAAAATAAATATATGGGTGTTCATAATGCAGTCATCTTTTGTCTTCCCTCAGTGCTTTCATTGGAAGTTAAATGGCTAAAAATGCTGAAATCAAAATATAAGCTTTTGTGTCTGTAAGAATTTTCCTTATTTTCTATTAGCCTGTGTTATATGAGTCCTATATTTTGGAGTTGATTTTTTTGGATGTATGACACTTACCAGAAAATCTTGAACTACTGAATAAAATACATCATTCTGCTACAGATTTCCCATGCTGTTATAACTGTAATTTCTATGGGTCTGTGCTAGTCATTGGAGTTGACAAATACAGAACTTTTAATGTTGCTATTTTGTTTCTCCTGCAAGGAATGAACAATCCACACTGATAGAAATTCACTGACACTAACATTTTTAATTCAAATGGAGATGATTGTGCTTTCTATATTCAAAACTGATTTTCATTGAATCTGGTTGTGGTATGCTCTTCTCCATTTAATAACAACGTAGTAACTGACCTAATTTGAATAACTTCTGGAGGCAGAGACAAGTAGTTAAATAAAGGTATCAGCTCTTTAAATGTAGCTAGCCATACAAAAAGTTTCTTCACATTCTTGAAACGGAATAGTCATATTCACTGTCCTGTAATAACACCAACAATAAAGAGGAACTGGAACAGTAAAGATTTATTATATTCACAGATTTCATGAATCAGTGAGAGTATGGACAGGGTCACCATGCAGAGTCAAAGTAAGGATATTAGCTGGGGTTTCTTAATTTGATTGTGAGCCATTGTTATGCTTGTGTGGCCCATTACCTGTAGTTGCTGGTTTTATTCAGTTTAGATTTTCAGCTTAAATTCCAAGTTAAGTCAAAGGGATGGTTTTGTAAAAATACTTCCTGTAGTTTGCTTTGCTTAACTTTATAAGATGTTTTTATAGTGCAACGTTAAAAACTTGATTCTTTTCTACCAGTGAAGACCACAAAGTCATCGAGACTCATTGTTATTTTAAAGCATGACAAGCTGGCCTTAAGACCTTAGGGATCCTTTCTTCAGATGTCAAGCTGGTGATGGATAAGGAGCCATCAGAGCTGTGTGTATCTTAACTGCAGGAGTTCAATTAAGAAGCCAAGAGTTTCTCAGGTACATGGGTGCAAATGGAAGTACTCTCTTTGATAATGTCTCTGTAGTTGCTCAGTGCAGGTAGCTGGCTTCCCCCAACTCATTTCTGATTGCACAAGGAGGTTAGCACAGAGGAATACCTGAAAGGACTGAGCTCCATCATTGTTCAATAAGTGCTAGAGAAAGCCACAATGGGGAAATGTTATCAAAATCACAGTGCCTGCACGGGGATTTGTCAGGAAATGGTTAGTTGTAAGATCTAGCTTCTATTAGCCACAGCCCTGAGAGCTCTGCTGTCTTTCTGCTCCTGAGAGAAACACTGTTCTTCTGCCCGTGCTGTGCAAAGAAAGGTTTCTTACCCAGCACTGATTTCTGAAAAGTCTGTTTTGTAGTTGTTTTGCTCTCACATTTCTCTTTCTTTTCATAATACTTGGAAGTGTGATGGAGAATTTCCAATTACTCCCATCCTGCCCCACATTTATCTGCTATTTTTAGATGCTGAGATACCAAAATACTCAAGAAGTAGTCATTGTTGAAGACATGGTCTTTTCAATGACCTCTCAAATGTTTCTTCTTCAGTCCCTTCACCCTTGAAAGAATATTCACAAGTTCCTGATGAATATGATGTCTAAGGTTAAATAAGATGAAAAAATAGTGCATTAGAGTCACATGAGAATTTTTTCTTGATTTGAAACATACTGTAAGGCATCAACAAAACACAGCTGTAAGTTTCCAGACTACATGTCTTTTGTATTCTTTCTTCATGCATATTAATGGGTAGGTCTCATCTAGTCAGATCAAAGTTCCTATAGGAAAAATATTCACATTTAAAAATTAATTACTGTGTTTAGTTTAAGTAATTAATTGGCATAATCACACATGCTTTTATAAACTAAACATAAAAGTGAACAGCCAAAGTATTTGGTGATAGTGTTTGGGATAGAACAGAAGTGTATAATTCCTAAGTTAAATTGACTTTTCATTTTATTATTAAATAATTTTGCAAATAGTCTTTCCTCAAAAAGTTTAATCAAGAGAGCAGGAGAAACAAACAACTGATGTTCATTTGTAATAGATGTTAAAAAGGATTATTTTATAACTAAAAATACTTTTTTTTCCCCTAACCCTTAAAATACATTTGAAAGTCCTAAGATACAGAGCAAAAATAGTCTGTGTTGTGACTGTGTTTCTTATCTTAAAATGGAATTAAAATTTCTGGGTACTTTCAGAACATTTTAATAATTAAGAGGGGATAATTAAATGCTTATTTTCTAGTACAGTGTCTGAAAAGAACATGAAGTGCCATCACTCATTTGCAGAGAGGTGTTGTGTTCATGATTGATGATAAATGATGCAATCCTATCAGGGTGAAAAATTTTTCTTCAAAAGCTATTAAAAATACTGAAACAAATTAATATCCAGCATAAATGGTGAACTTATTGAAGTCTGCTGAGTTCTGTCCAGTATATTATGATCATTTTTATGCATATTATTTTGTAGCAGATTAAATTCAGGCATTGATTAAATTCAGAGTTAATTTACATCAAAGGTTGCCATTAGAATAGCCCGTTCTCAGGTCCAAAAACCCCATAAAATCTAAACACAGCAAGAGTTATTAGACCACTCATTCTAATTCCTCTAAAATCATGGACTTTTGTATTGCATTCAGTTATTACCTTAGTACTCAGCTTTGAGTTCAAGAATATGTTTGGTAAAATTATACCTTGGATTTGGATACTCTGTCTCTCCCAGAATGTCACTGATGGTTTGTTTTAAGAAAACAGTAGTTAGAGCATTTCTTTTTGAGTACTTCACTGTTTATGTACACAATTTCTGCTATGTCTCACTTCAATTTGTGGCTAGTGGCTCTTGGCATGCTTTTTGTGCTAGCTTTCACATTCAGCATGTCCTAGGAATTTCACAGTTTTTTTCACAAACTGACAACAAGAACATGGCTGAGCTTCTTTAAGCTTTCATTGAAATACCCTTTTCTCAATCTTCAATTACTTTCATAGTTCTTTTCTACATACTTTGTACTTTTCAACAATGTTTCAAAAATATTTAGGGTAGAAATATTTTTAGGCTTCCATTATTTATCTCTCCTGAGGCATAAAAAAAAGCAAAGACAGGCTCCTATTCACTACCTTCTTTATGCCATTTTTTAATTCCTATAGCATCAGTGGGACACTCCTGCTGAGTTACTGGTTTGTTATGACCCCATATTCTTTACAGACTTACTGTTTGAGGTGTTTACTTCATTGTTGCATCCTGTATTTCTTCCTCCAGTATATGCAGATTTGTATTACTTTGACTGGGAACACTAGTCTAAAAATATTTATGCTTTTTAGTTTATTTTAATTTTCATTAGTCCCAAATCACTGATGGAAAAATTGAGTAATACAAGACTGAACAGCCCCTCTTTCTGATGCCAAGTCTTTTCTGATCACTCTCTTATTCATGTTCATCATCCAATGCTTAATCCAGTTAAAACACGTTTTATTGATACTGTGCAGTGCTATATTTTTAATTAGAATATTGAGTGATACTAAGTCAAAAGGCACACAAAAGTTGAAGTGTATTATACCTACATCGTTATCTTTGGCAACCTAACTTAAAATCTCATCAAAGAGCAGAAGTAGATTTGTTTGACAAGGCTTATTTTGCACAGAACAATGTTGACTAGTATTAATTATATTCCTATATTTTAATAATTTATTAATTGAATCTCTTCTCAGTTTTCCTATTATTTCTCTCGGGAATCATGTTGGGCTAAGCAGCCTGGGAATGCAGATGTCACCTGCTTGCTCTTAGTGGAACACCAAGAAAGATGTAGCACTGCTGCTTAATGGAATATCAGTGGCATTGTTCATTCCTTCTTTAGGTCACCTAAATAGGTATTTTTTCTTAATTTTGACATGCTATATTTTCTTGTACTAGCAGAAGAAAAATTCCATCAGCAAATTGTGAAGTAAAACTGTTTATGTAAACAAACTACTGAAAGTCTAGCTATGCCATTGCTGTGCAATATATTAGAAATGAAAGCAAATTTGGTGTGAATATGGGAAAAGATGTTGCATAACTGTACTGCAGTATTACAACATGATGGTGTGTGCTCAAATTAGGAAGAGCAATTGAAGAAGTCTGAATATGCATCTGTAATTCTGAAAGGCTGTTATGTTCTTGTTCCCAGAACTGGCTTGTCAGTGAGATATAAAATAGAAATAGGTACAGTCAATTTCCCATGCATTGGGATCTTTTTCCAGATTACAAAATCCATCTCAGAGTTTTCATTTCTGTTTTGGCTTTGTGGAACTGGTGGGGTCATGATATCTGCATTTGTCTTGGATGCTTTTATTCCCTTCATGCTTGAAGTTTCTGGTTCTGAGTAGACTTTAAATTCACTGTGTCTAGGAAAGCCAGATACTAAACAAAAGCAGTGCCTAGAAGGGAGTGGATAATCTATTAACTTTTAGCTTTTATGCTGTCATTCATTCCTCAAATAGTCTGGGATAATTAGCATTTAAAATACATGGCTGCAGCTGCTGCAAGACAATGTCTGGGAGGAGAACCAGCCCTTCATCTGCACAAATTCATCACCTTGTTACACTTGCAGATGTGATATCAGGAGCACTTGGCAGGAAGGGCCAGGTAAGTGACTATACTATGGACTAGAGGAGATGTACCAGTAGAACAACACTAAGTCCTGGGCTGTGTCAGGTTTGTCTGAGTCAGGGTCTGGATCATTAGGTGGCCACTGAGTGCCTACTTTTTGCTAGATATTAATAGAAATCAGGTTTACCAACAAGCAAGGCCATCCATCTCACAAAAAAACAGGATGGCAGACAGGCATTTAATAGAAAATGGTCTGCTGAGAGCTAGATGTGCTTAATCAAATCACATTGCTTAATTTTTGTCAGAGATGTGAATCCATGTTCCACAGATGTGCCAGATTATTGGATACTCTATCCTGAAAGCCATTCCAGGGTCTTCCTTCATGCTTTTCTGCTTTAAACAAGGAATTAAATATTCATTGATCCACAGAGAGAAAAAAAGAATGTAACCCTATATTCAGACTGTTATGGCAGTAAAAGGTGCATCAGCATCATCATCTGAATCTTAAAATTCCACACAGGCTCTGGTAAAATATTGTCATAAATTATGGGAATTCCTCAAAATATTCTGAATTGCAAATATGGTCTCATGGCACTGCTGGAGGTTACCATATTAGGATTATTGGGATAAAAATAAAAATTCTTCTACTCTGGAAAATATTTTTTCCCTTTATTTTTTTCATTTTTTATTTTTTTTTTCCTGAGAATGATTGTATTTTGTGAATCTAAAACATGCCCATGATTAAGGTCTTTAAACAGCTAAGTCCATGCTGGTCTTGATTATTTTACTTGTGAGATTACTTTATGTAGAACTGATCTTTCAGTCTTTTGCTTTTTTGCATTTATTTCACTGAACTTCTAACCTGATACCATTCTTTTTTCACCAGACTTGATAATGGTTAGTCAGAGTTTCTGTATGTAGACTATCAATTTAAATTTCCCTGTCTGTTTTTAGATTTCTTTTGCTTCTTCAGGTTCTCAGGGCCTTGTCCAGAAAAGTGTTGAAAATCTCCAAGGATGAAGACTCCACAGCCTCTTGGAGCAGCTGTGCTGGTGCTTAACTGCTCCTTGTGCATCATTGAAATGAAACTCAAAATCAAGTCAAAGTTTAACATTTGCAATTTTTGCAATACTTAAAAGAGTTAAAAGTATCTGCAAAATTCAGAAAATCTAATTTGAAACTTACCTTCATACCACTGATAAAAGATAACAGAAGTCATGCAACATCCCAATGGACAATAAATCAAAGATAAAAGATAACAGAAGTCATGCAACATCCCAATAGAGAATAAATCAGTCATGCTTGGAATGAGACACTGGACTATCTGGTTTTATAAAATTATGAGGATTTGAGTTTTTACTCCTAGTTCGCACATATTACATGCACAGTTTTAAAAATAGTTCTACATTTAGAGAGCTTGACTTGAAATCTCAATATACCTTTCTCATAGTATGAATTTCCTCTCCCCTCACTCCACTTTTATTGTATATTAACAAAATTATTATAAAAATAGGTTTCCCATACTGCTTTGTCTTTACATTGTGGTTTGATTTTAAAAATTGCTTTACTTTAGCAGTAGACTTATTTAGAATATATTAAGATGAAAATCGGGGCATAGATCTATTTTTAACCTCAAAGATTCTGCTTTGTAATGACTGTAACTGGCACAGTAAAGGGATGGAGAGGTTTGCAAAACCACAGCAACATAGATCCTGTCAGCAAAGTTTTAATTCTTTTGCTGCCTGTGTAAATTCAGGAAAGGACATAATCACTGAAAGATGGTCATACTAAATAAGCACTTCTGGTAAACTGTTTTTTACCTAATCTGCAGTTAGCTGAATGTCTTACACAGATCTTCCCTTTGCCTAGTGGGATGGCCCTGTGGTGGTTCACTAAGAAAACAGGATGCACAGAGATTTTGGTCTGCCACTAGCAATCTGGGGCCCAGAGGGAAAAAAAAAAAAGCAAGCCACTGACTTTTCAGTAGTTTACTTGTAGCAGATCAGATCTATAAAAATTCCTTATTAAAAACACATTTAAAACAAGGTAGTATAGATCTTGGATGCTGCAATTTTCTTATGTTTCCCATTTAATTTGAAAGTATATTATATTCTTGATTTTATGCTTCAGGTAGGCCTGTAAAAATTCTAAGGCAGAAATTAATTGCTCGTTACAAAGGATTCATCAGCTTCATTAAGATAAAAAATTAGTAGGGGCAAAATGCAGTAAATGCAATTGTCGCCTGTGTGTTGATCCAACTGCCATTTATGCCACATAAAGAATCTGTGTTTTCAAAGCTGTTGATTGCAGGGTTCTGCCTGCTGGAAAGAGATCTTCATCAGTTTAGGTACTGCAAGGCCCTGGGTAGTGTCACTCTGTGTGGATTCAGGCCATGAGTGTAGATTCCAGAACAATCATGAGTTGTCCATGGATGCTTCTGAAAGAGCAGCAGACAGTGAAGATACACAGAGAATCCTTGCTCCAGCCATCCAGTGGGATATATTTATTTTCCCTTAATACATTTGACTTTGCCCAAAAATGATATTATGGTTAAACTGGCATGGGATAGATTCAGTTGGATTACCATTTAAAAAAATGCTTGAGTATCTTATTTTCAATATGAGCTTAAGTATGAAGGACTAAAAAGATGCATAAGTATCTGAATTATTTATGATTTTACATGTATCCTTACACATGATAAGTCAGAGCTTAAACAGTGCATTATGTACTTTATAAAACTATTACAAAAATCTAAGGTAAAATAAATAATGATGTAAGTAAATCCCAAATATACATAAAATTTTTGCAACCTTATATATTATGCATACCTTCCTAACATAAATCAGGGGAAAATCCAATCAGTGTATTTAAGATTTTATACCAATATTTTAATGGAATATTATTTAATAACTTTAGGGTTTACATCAAAATAATTAATCTCATATTCATTACTGCATGGCTTAGTCTTTTTTATATTAATGGAAAATTAGTTTAAAGAAGCATAATTAAAATTATACTATAGTGATTAAAAATAAAGTAGGTACTGCAATATATATATGAAAATAAGACTTCTTCAAAGGAAAATTGCTTTTATGGCTATCATTGCTTATGTATTTTAGGAGAATCAAAAAGAAGTTTGCTTAAATGACTAAAGATTTTTCAGAAAAAAGTTTTCAAAGTTTTCAAAGGATCTCTTGTTATTATTTAACAAATATTAATCATGCTTACAGAGGCTACTTGAAAAAAATTTATTACAAGACATTTGTTACCAGTCATGCCATAGGAAGAAAAGAGAGCCACAGGGCTGATATGACAGTAGGGTTTGTGTATGCAGTGCTCCTCTGGTAATTAAATTGCAGGTATGTGACATTGATCTGAAATTGGAGCTGTTTGAAGTAGCAACTCTCAATCTCTATAATCAAAGGATGCCCCAAAGTTTTACTCAATCAGATATTTTGGCATGACCACTCAGTTTATGAAGCCCAATCCACTAAAAAAGTTATCTGTCCTCAATAGGCACTTCACAAAGTCCTCACTGCTTGTGGATAGTGAGCAGTCATTCAGAACTACAGCTTGGAATCTATTGCCAAAGTACAGCAGTGCCTCATTTTAGTGACTGTACTTATTACAAGGCGAGATGATTGTGGAGGTGTGAGTGAATGTCTACTGCTGTTTTTATCTAAAATTGGTTGGATCATATTTCTCTGTGCATTTATTTACTCTTTCATGTACAAAAAAGTCAATATTAATTTTAGAGTTCATATATGCATGTGGATTTGATGCAGTGATCTCAAGAGAGATCCTGGTCTTTCCTCAGGACCATGGTTATGTTTTCTAATTCTGTTTTTGAAATATTTTTGAGTGAGCATATATATACTAATATTAGCAACTTGAAACTTCAGCAGTTATTTCTATTCCTTCCCAGGTACAAACACACTTGGAAAATCAGTCTAGATACCACATACAGCAGAGCCAGAGGCACCAGGTGAAGCAGTACCTGACCCTCGATACCAAGCTGTCCAGCCAGACGCTCGCCCTGTCCCACTCTCACACAATCCAGCCAGTGGGAGTGAGCTCCATTCTCCGGAGTGGACCCATGCCTCCCGTGAGCAGTGCTGGCACTGCAGAAAGCCCTGTCACCAAGCTGCTGGCCCTCGGGGGCGAACACGAAAATGCGGTAGGGCAGAGCTGGGTGAAGAAAGGGGAACTGGGCTCTGTCTACTTCTACAAAAATGTTACATCACCCACCTTGCACTAGAAGTGGGCAAGACATGACTTTCTTAGCTTTCAAGGGGTTATGGCACTTGCTTTCTGTATCCTTTTGGATTATGTGTGTTGTTCCCTTGTGTGCCTGTGAATAGCTTACTGCAGGATCAAGCTTTTAGACTGCTGTCAGATAAAATGTACTGTTTCATCTTTTTACATACACATCATATGTTGCTGTACATTTTCTGAATATGCACTTTGCAAAGAAAAACATCCCTTTTAAAGATGGGAATTGTTTCTGTCTAAAGGTATTAACCTAGCTGCATAAAAAATGTTAAATACGGATTACCTTCAATATGTAACTGAAAAAAATCACTCAATCATTTTTCAGTTAGCTGCTATATTTTTATGTGGATTATCTTGAGTAAATTGGCAAGGATATGTTAACTTTAGTACCACCATTGATTTTAATAGAGGTTCAGCTATAATACAATATCAGATTCTTAGCCAGTGTGAGATGTCTGCCATTATGGCTTTTAATACTTCAATAGATTTCAAAAGAGACTGTTTATTAGGTAAAAGGGGAATTCCTACAGAAATGAGAAATGAAGATTCTGTAGCATGTCTTGAACTTTAATAGAAAAAAAGAATCTTACAAATACACCATGACTCATTTGAGCATTTGGCTGTATCATAGCTAAGCATGTGGGAGTCCATAAAGCTTCCTGGAGAATTCATCTGGGGCCTCTCTATTCCTTCTGCATTGACAACTAACATTTTAAGTCAGGTTTATGGATTGCTTGAGCTACTTTAAAATGCTATTTTAAATGACCTTTGTGGACACCTATTTGACCATCTCCATGCTGACAAAGTGTAGTGTGCTGAAGCTGTTCTCAGGCCTTTTGTGTCTGATCAGGAGCCTGCCCTGTACCACTGTCTGTCCTGGTGTCCAAGAGAGAGCCTGGTGAAGACTGGGAGGGTGATACCTGGCACTGGCAAGATCCTGGCAGCTTTGCAATGCTTTGGATAATCTCATCTCAGACTCAGGGGGATGACTGTCACCATGTAATTTCTTAATGCGGGTGTGCCCTGTGGTTGAAAGTAGGCTGTAGATATATTAGTAAATAATATAGAGCAAACACCCAGGTTGGTGCAGTAAACTGCACTCCTTCATATTGTTTAATTGCCAGCATTTCTTAGTATAATTTTGGCCCTGATGGTGCTTTCCTAGATAAATCTAGGCAAAACTACTGGCACATTAGTTCTGTATTCTCTGGTTTTAGACAGGGAGAGGAATGAATGTATGAGCTGTGCTGGGCCACGTGGCTAAAAACTCTGTGTTGAAAGGTCCCATGTCTGTGTGATACGTGGTTGCACACAACCATCTCAAATTCCTTCAGCTCCCAAGACCTACAGATAGTAGAGTTAAAAGTGACATGCTCATCATGAGATCTCTCCCAAAATTATATTGTGAGTGGAACCAGACCATAATTATTGAAAACTCATGCTGTACTTTGTCCAAATCTATATATGTCTACAGGCTTTCAAAGTACTCATTGTTTAATAGCAAATTATTGAGCTATTCCATCTGCCTCAGTAGTTTTTGGCTCAGATTAGATCAAAAGTGAGCATGTAACACCAAACTTTGAGTGATGCATACCATTGCAGAACCAGAGACTCCTTTCAGTCTTCCTGCACCAGTGCAGCAAAGCACTGTGGCTATGATACATTTGATCAAGTTCACAGTTACAGCTTAACTAGGCACTCCTGTCATCTGATCATGGTGCTGCAATAGGGGTGTGAGCTGACGTTTAAGAGAAAGTTGTATCTTCCTAAACCACAACGGTTTTCACAAGAATTAAAAAAAGTGAATATTGTATAGAAGTGTTTGAATTGTAAGATATAAAGTTCTGAAATACAGTTTTATTGCTGATATAAATATTCAAGATTAATTCCTCTGTATTTTAAAAATAACTTTTTTCTATTATCATTTGTAGTCATTTCTCTTTAAATATTATTTTATCAGATGGAAGAAGTTATTGAAGACATAATCAATATGGAATCAAATTTTAATGATGAAGGGATAGGTTGTTCTGAAACTCCTTTACTAATGCAAAGAACTGTAAGTATTTTTTTTTTGAATTTCATCTTGCTTTTTATACTAGAAAGCTTCTTTGAGTTGTTCAAGCACATCACAGTTCAGAAACTAAGAAATAGTATCAGTGGACTGTTCTCCTTTCTCTTCAGCTGGTTGCCTTTTTGTCAATAATTATTAAAGAAAAGGGCAGCAGTGTGGTGAGACATAGTTGTTTTAAATGGTCTGAATAGCACGTGGGATTCTAGCCCAGCAAAATGCTTGTTGCATAACCTAAATCTGCCATAACAGTTGGAGTTATTGATGTCTGTGCAGTGCTAAAAATAATAAGGAAAAAGAGTCTCTGGACCCTAGAAGGCCTTTTCAAACCTTGCTTAAAGATCCTTCTACCTCAACTAAAAAAGTCAAAACATCCCCATGTAATAGTTTCTATGGTACAGTGGTTTCTCCAGTGTCTTATCCTGAAGCAAGGCTCTAGTTCTGGACTTTCATACAGACAAATTGCATTTAGTTGAATAATTTCAAGGACAAATAAGAGGAATGTTACTTCTTCACAGGAATTAATGTAACAAACTTCAATTTTATGATGTCTCTTTGTGAATAAATGTGAAAGGACTAACAAAGTTAGTTATTTTTCCATATATCTTGCATAGTTGAAGAGGAAGGATGGAGCTTTTCTGGACACAAAAACACATAGAGTGTTATTATTTATGAAAGTAATACATATAAATTCTTTTAATTCACTTTACAGAAGGATATATGTTGTCCTCTTTACCCTAGCTGATGTCCAGAACTATTTGTCCTCAGGGCATTAAACTGTATACCCATAAAGGGAAACTTCACCCTGATGAAGGCAGGAGGATTTTCACAGGCTTTGACAATCCACCAAGTTCACATCAAAATACAGGCAGGTGCTTGCTTTGTATTGCCCTCTGGAGAAATATCTTTTTCTGACTTACAGAACTTCACTGGCTCCAAAAATACCTTAGGAGACAACATCTCTACTCTTCTATGTTTACCACTATACAGTCCAGCATTAATGCCAATTAACATTTCCATGAACACCTGATATCTGCATGCCAACTACATAACTAATGCAACTGGACTGATTTACACATGTCTCTGTACAGAACACAGCAAAGAAATGGTCCCTGAGGAGTGAATTAATAATTTGGCTCAAATGAATGTGAGGCAGGGGAGGATAATTTCAGGTATGATAGCGTGGGATGGGGATGAGAGGCATGAATTCTGAGTTTTGAGTTGAAGTCATACTCCCTCTAAACCTTTTCAAATTGGATTATATTAATCTGTCCTAATTCCAGGTTCATTAGCCTTTATCTTCAGCCTTGAAGGACATTTGTCTCTAAAATTTATTAAATACCCTAGTCTCAATGAGGAAGGAAATATGCACTATCTTTTAGACCTTGATAGTATTGTACTTGCAAAGATTTGGGACTCTTGAAGTGCCTCTGGGACAAGTAATCGTATTTGGATTTTCATTTGTGCTGAGGAAATAAGCAGGCTGGTAGGTAAGCCAGGGAGTAGCACACATTTCCAAATAGCTCTGTTCAATACTGTGGCAAAATAAAGCCTGTCTTCAACAAGGCAGGCAAACTGCATCGGAGTGAGGAAATTGAGTGGTGTCTCTGCTTGTGCTGTCTCTTTTAGCACTGTGCAGTTTAAAAATATACAAAAGGATTAGGCACATGGAGAGATCTCAGGCATTTAACTCATGCCACTTGGTTTTATGCCATTTTTCAGGCAACATCCTAAATCTGCCAGCAAAATTTTGGTCATAAGCTGTGCAATAGAGAAAGATAGAGATGCATGTAGAAAATATTTTTTTATATCCAGTTTTTCATTATCACATTAAACATAATGAAATTTCTTTATCTGAGCCAAACATGTATGTATTACTAGAGAATTGGACTAGGAGGCATGATCAAGAATGAGAGAATATTTAATTTCCCTGAGATATGCTGGGTTTGTGCTGCACTTCAGCAAGGTCCAATAGTAGCTCCAACATGTGCACAAGGTGCCTTGCTGTGGTGACTGACATAAACATGGAATAAGTGAGATTGCACATGAGACTGAGTTGCCTCTGTATCTGGCTGATTTTGGCTTTCTCTTTAAAATTCTCCAGCATAATTCCTAAGTATTTCTAGAATTTCTTTTTAGACTTTCCTTACTTGGGATTGTCTTGATTTTGCAAACTGAGCAGAGTAATCTCTGAAATTCTGAAATTGACTGACTTGGTTTTCAGAATGTGATAAAAGGCTTAGGTGCTTTTTCAAGTGAAATCTTTTCTTGAAAAAGATAAATTCATGATGCCATTTTTCTGTCTCAGTGTTCTCAATGGCTTACTCAATGGCTGAGTAATCTTCCCACTTGTTACGGTGCAACCTGTTGTATATTGCAGTGGTCTAATGTTTACTTTAGTTAAATGCACCATTTTAATGGCACGTTAAATGAAGACATTGAATTCTGTGAGATCACTCATGTGAATAATTGCTCAAAGGCTCATTGTCTGACCCTGAATTAATGAATTACAGTTATGCATAAGAAGAATCAGAGAAGTGAAAATAAGAAATTCCTCCATCTCTCATTAAAATAATTACAACTTCTGAGGGGTGGATTATCTGGCTTGTGTTTGGACCCAAATTTATAATTTCATGAAACTGTCTGGTTTTGGGTGATCACTTAAGAATTGCTTAAACTAAGGATTTTTCTGTTTGTGTTTCTATTGTTTTTTAGAGTACTCTAATGGCAGAAGCCTACTTTTTATAACAATCTTTTAGAAGTTTGGTTAAAATGTAAGACTAGGTCCTCCCTACATGGAGGGTCTTGATTCCTGTGAAAGAATTTGTAAATTAAATTATATCTTTGCTCATAAAGCATAACTGAAATAAAATCATAACTATTCTTATGAACTATCATTTAATGAAAACTGTTTGTTCATTATGGAGAAGGTAAACTTTAATAAAAAAAGACGGCACCAATTTAAACGAATTTTTCCTTGTCATAATAATTTAGTCTTATGAAATTTTAATTAACAGACAGCAGGGTATTTATTTATTATAAGAAAATATTTTTTCTCTAAGTATCATATTAGGGGAAGCAGGTTTGTTCCTGACTGTATAAGGATCATTAAAAAATGAAACAAATAATATATGAGTGAGTTTTAGAAGTGAACTACTGTCATGTAGGCCAGATATGGTGAGAGACATTTGAAAAGTAAATACTTTTCATTTTTATCGGAAGTTCTTTATTATTCAAAATCCTTACAACTTATTTAACATTTTTTAGGGAATTTAAAGTATATTAATACTTCCTTTTTTGTAGGGAATTTAAAGTATATTAGTACTTCCAAATGTTCAGAACACAGGAAGTGTAGATGTTTAGGTCTGTTAATACAAAGCATATATTACACCATCATTAATAATTTAGGGCAGGTAGTAAAAAGCTCTGCTGTACACTGCTTTTAATATCAGCAAGGAGAAAAATTTAAGAAACATATTAAAGTAGATGTTGAGAGCATTAGTAACAGTGAAGAAAGAGTAGAGTTAAAAAATAGGTTCTCTGTGCTTTTCAAGGTGTGATTTAACAGTGTGTGATCTTATGAATCACTTATTTGTACTAAATGTTGTTTTGTTTTGATAATGTATATATGCAGCCCTAGGACTCATGAGTAAACCCCGTAATCTAGTAACAACAGAGGAGATCTGTATGAAAACAGCAATTTACCAGTACTTTCATTCAGAAATAATGGTTACAGTCCAAATAATCACTGTACAACTGGGATAATGCTCTCTACTTGACATGCAGTCCACTAAAACTTATGTCAAAAGCATTAGGAGATTGGCTGGCTTGGAATAAGAATGAAGTGAGAGGAATTTTATGTTCTGTAATGGCAAAGGCCTCTCTTGCACAGACCTGGGTGGGACCAGCAAGAAAAATAATTTAATCTTGTGAATATTTTCAAGTATTCTAAGTTGTCTTTTTTTCTGGTGCATAAGAAAACAAGAACTTTCAGCACTATTTTTGAAGAAGCCTGGGGAGAGAGGCTCCGTAGCAGTTAGGTGGCTGGCAATGAGAGCTAAGAAATAGTTGCACAGCAGTGCTTCAGGCAGAACACTACCATGAAATTGGATTTAAAAAAGTTACCAGGAGAGACCCAGCTGCTGGTATGTTGAATCAATTCAGCTCCATGTTGCTGGAGTAGTCAATACTCAATGACTGAACTAAATGGAGCCGTTCCTTTCAGAATGGAAAAAAATTGAAAGCTACTTCATGGAAAATATTATCATTGGATTTTTTCCATGTCCTGTACTAAATAAAGCTAAGAAAAAAATGTTTCCATGTTGATGTAGGAAGAAATTATTTACTGTGAGAGTAGTGCTACATTGGAACAGTTTGCCCAGGGAACTTGTGAATGCCCCAACTCCAGCAGTGTTCAAGGCCAGGCTTGATTAAGGCCTTGAGCAACCTGGTTTGGTTTCTCTGCCCATGGCAGAGAAGGTTGGGACTAGATGATCTTTAAGGTCCATACTAACCCATTAACATTCTATGATACTATAATTTAATTTGTAGTATTTAAGAAATGTTTTCTTTAAGCATCCCCTTGAATGACCTTAGCAGCAGGAATGTCGAGGGAAGAAGAATGAAACCAGTACCAGAGAAGGGAAGCAAAGCACCTGGGCATGCTGGAAGTCAGGGGTTGTGCCAGCTGTGAGTTATGTGGGTTATCAGGTATTCTAAGTTGTGGCAAAGGTGGCAAACTCGGTAAAGGTGGTGCCTTACAATGGGTCACTCTTCAGGAATTTTCTGAGGCTTCACTGCTTCATCTTCATTTCATATACTCATAGTTCAGTATTTTACCAAGATTGGGAGCCACTGTTAATTTCCAGTGTGCTTGGGAGTCAAGTCAGTGGGATTGCTTCACTTTTGCCACTCTTGCAGGAAAAGAGCTTGTGGAGAAAATCCTCAGTGGCTGTATGGCTGGCTTGTATTTGTTTTGCTCCTTTGGC